TGTGGGACTCGTATATCCCCAGATTGGAATGGAGCTGGTCCTCCATGTATATCAAAAGGAATAATCGAACCACTTGTAACTTTGCCGGGTTTTGGTAAAGTTAGGTGACCAGCTGGAGCACTATTCTGAGGTTCGACAAAAGGTTCGACTTGTGGTCTCGAACCGAGTTCGATAGGAAGGTGGGCCCATTTCGTAGATATGAATGGTTGTACCTCATTAATCTGGTATTCCAGAAGCTGATCTGCAGTCCAATTGTGATACTCTTTGCGGAGAAATGCTTCCATTAAAGCATCATCGAGATTTGCATTTATATTGACATAAACTCCATAACGTCGCAAGACCTTGCAAAAGTCATATAATATCAACTTATCAACGCTCCTGAGTAGGGCTTGTCGAATGAGTTCGAAATCGAATGTGACTGTATTCTGAAGAGATGTATCGGTGATCCTTGTATTCGAGTACGCAGCCATTCGAAAAAGAAAGTATCCGTCGATCTGGTGCTCTGTCCCCATCTTGAATGTATATCCTTTATAGAACTGTTTAGCTTTATTAAGATCTTTTGGAAAGGAATAGTTCTGAGATTCTCCTTTGAATTTCAAATCCTTAGTAGTTTTCTGAGTTTTTCTTTCTTCAGCTACTGCTTTGTCAGGAATATAGGGATTGAAAGGAGCAGGAGGATGAGGAGGAGCACTGGTTATATTTTTGTAGAGAGAAGTTTTGAACTCCTGTTGTAGAGGATCGGTGTTGTCAGTTGTCGTGTCGATAAATCCTCCTATACCAGTAGATTGATCGGATGGAACAGGTTTCTTGCCAGCATCGGGTTTCTTGCCAGCTTGCTTAGAGCTAGTGCTAGCGCTTCCCCGGGATGTCATGGTGCTGACAACGGGAAATAAAAGAAGTAAAAGTGAGAAGGTATTTCGAATAAGTAAGTTAAGTAATTTGTGATATCACTAATTAGTGTTGGTTCAATAATGAGATCAGGAATACGGGAGACGTGGTTCCCACTATCATTAGTAGGCCCCTAAATGTCTGTATTGTATTCTGTCTAAAGAGCTAGCTAATGAGGGGAAGTAGTAGGCCTTATATAGGCACTACTGAAAGAGCTAGTCTCCTTCGCATTCGCCTAAATACCTTTGATACAGTAGCCATTATATTGAAGTCATTCTTTTGAAGTGAATTCCCTTGTTCACACAGTATCCTTGTATTTAAAATACAATGTTAGAGTTGATCTACTTTATTATTAATTCATAAAAACGTAGAGTATTCCGAATGTGTTTGGAATAGTAAATCTACTATATAAACCCTGTCAGGTAATTGTTCCCTGATACTCATTCCTGTCTTGTACGGACCCATCCGGTATGCGCTAATCAGGAAGGAACTAGCTCTCTATAAATATAAGTTTCTATAAATATAGAAATAATTAGAAATGTATATAGTTGTAGTTAAATCAATTATTAAAACTAAATTCAAAATACAATTATTTTTGTTCAGATTTATTAAATAAAAGATTCAGAATAAAATACCCTTGTATTCGAAATACAATATTAGTGTCACGGGGTGACACTAAGCCCTTTCTGTCCTGTCCTGTCCTGCTATATATGTGAGAGTAAGGTAGAACTTCCAGTTCTACCTCCTAGTCTTTTGGGCGTTTAGCTCAGCGGTAAAGCTTCTGAATACTCCCAGAGGTGATCCCGTGACAATAGAATAGAATAGAAATATATAAAAAACTATTAATAAAATGAATTAAATTGATTAGTATACTTTATTTTTATGATCTAATATAGTTCTATGCTGATGAAGGGACAAGAAAATCAGCCTCAGGACATGCGAACCGACCTACAGCGAATGGTATCCGCTCTATAGCAAAAACCGTTATGGAATCGGTAGCATAAGCGTAATGGATTAAATAGATACTAACACTCTTTAAATAATATCAGAAATAGAACCCAAAGAGTACAAATAAATACCCTAAAGAACTAGAACTTTTATAAGCAATTCTCTATTGTATATTAGCAATCTATTCAGTATATAGCGATTTCGAAAATTATTATTGATGATTTAAATACGAGGAAGCAACAATCTACTGCTTATATGGAGTATTCAAATCCTCTGAGCATATTGTGTATTGCTGCAAAGTCCTTGTGATTTATAAAACCTGATCCTCAGATATCAAGTTCAAATATCTATTCTACAATCAAGCAGTTCAAGAATGACTATTGAAACAGCTAATGTATATATCAGTCAAATTTGCTAAATTTATTGTTATAATAGATTTTTTATAAAAGTATATGCTCTAAAATACTATCAAAAGAATAAAAGGAAACAAGGAAAGGGATCGATTAATCCAGGTGAACATAAATAGGGAATAGAAGGGGATAAATCTAGAAAAACTATATAGAAGAAAATTGAAGCATATAGTATACTATATTATAATAGAATGTATATAAAAGCTATTCTTATAGGATAAAGCAGCTTTCAAACAAATATTATATAGAAAATCGGAAAGTGTTAGAAAAGGTGCTCATACCGCATATCACACTATGCTATATCGGGATTAGCCCGCATGTGACACTGTCGAGTCCACACATATATATCGTATCGTTATGTAGAACTTAATAATATTAAAGGCTTTTCCACCAACTCATATATGATCTTCTAACAGAAAGTATATATAGAGATACTTAGAGGATTGGAGATAAAGATATAAATGCACTAGCTATTGCTTAAAAGATTATTGAGGATATTGAGACCCTATCCCTAGGAAAAAAGGGATTATATAAATTAGAAGATTATCCCGCAGTTAGCTCAACCGTAATGCCCCCTGGGAGGCTTGTCTATACGGCCCGGTTGAAAATTACTAATAATAATAATAATATAGTTCTATAAGATATGATTTAAATTAATTTTATTTATAAGTTTAAGAACTGTTAGAATTTCATTATAAATTATATAAATCTAGAATATTCTTTAAAAAAATCTAGAAAAAAGTAAGCAATTTTATTTTAATTGGGTTTAACTCTTATAAATTGACTTCCCATTCAACTTTTATACTATATATTCGATTCATCTCTAATTCAAAATTAACTAGATTTTTTATTACTATTATAATAATAATTACTCTTATCATTTTAAAAGCTAATCTCCAAGAGAAATGAATATAAATTGATTTAAATAATAGAAGGCTATAGGTAATTCGAATATCCTTTAGACAAGTCTATAATTTATGCTCTAGCATCCTCATCAATCAGAACACCTGAAGATTCGAAAATTAGCCCTTTATAGTCAAGAGAATCCTTCCCTCCCCCTTTGTAGCACTCCCTCCTCTCCAGTAATATTCGATAGGAGATTCATCTCATTAAATACTTGTTCAGCTTTGCTGAGTACCGGTAAATATCATCTCATGGACAGTAGTACTAGGGATGAAAAACTTCGGCTTTCGATCAACGTGATTCACCAGGAATTCTAATTGAAGACCACAAAAGCTTTTTGATAATCCAAATTTAGCCCGATAGTCAGTTGGAGTTCATCTGAGCTAGGGTTAAGGGTTCAAAGTTTACAAGTGGGAATCTTACTTAGGGTTCATTGTTAAAATAAGGTTTGAGTAGTTTTCAGTGGAACTCTGAATTTCAACAACATAGAGTACAGATTCCCTATCGTATTCTTTTGGAATTTGGCTATACGCTAGCAAGAATCATTACTTTAAGATTATTTCAAAGCCAATTGGCTTGCTTTTAAATAAAGCCAAATACCTGAGAATAAAAGTTTTTAATAAAAATATTAGGTATTTGATGAATAATTTATTAAAGAAACAAATCAAACAATTCTGATAGTTATTATAATCCTAATCTACAAAAACTTAAACAATTAATCCTTTTTAGCGCATAGCCAAAATTCTAAAAGAATACGATACTCGTGCTGCCAGAAAGTATGCAACTCCGGCGCTCAATACGCTATATCGGCTTTAATAGGCTAATGGAACCCACTGCTTTCTTCGATCCCATTATATTAAATGGAGATTTGGAAAAATGAATCAATTGAATAGCTCGCTTATATTGAAGCCCTACTGCTTTCAGCACAAATTTCAATGATGTATGCCCCTTTTGAGCACTAGAAAGCTTCCCCACAGTAACTTAATCCTATTGAGGCAGGAGTTGCATACTTTCTGGCCGCACGAGTAGTATGTAGGAGGTGGTCGGAGAAGACAGGTTACATGATTGAGTAGTAAAAAGAGTTGCATTAATCTAGAAACGATATTAAAAGAGATGATGGTAAGCACCACCTTTAGGTCCCACCTTCTGTCGGCTAACGGGGAGGCTTAAAGCTTAACTTAAATTCTAGATTTAGCTGAATGAAGAAGTGCGCGATTTCATAGAGTTTTCTATCCAGGAAACTAGAGCTCAATAGAGTAACCAAGATGGTGTATCGCCTGAACGCACGGGCTAGTTTGAAATTACCCATAATCCATCACCACCCCAGGACCCCTCACCCCTTCAACATTTCTCAATCATACTATGACTTCAACAGTTCATTGACAAGATTCATTAGGGCTAGAGCTTTAATGACGGGCTCAATCAATACGGCTCAGTTGATAGAGAAATTGTCCAGCTTGAAGTGTTGTATTTGATTCACTTTCGAATATAGTCAGAATAAAAAAACCTGATATACCTTGGTTTTGGACAAGTTTCAGCATATTGTACTAGGTCGTTGGTGCAACAGATTGTATGAAAGCAATTGATTAATTCACCTAGGGCTTAAGGTATTTACCGTTATGCTATCAATACCTTTGATATTGTTTTAATGCTTTATATTAGTTCTTTTGATATAAAACAACTATCGATTATCTTGGGGGGAGGGGGTGTTCAAACCTTAAATTAAGTGATCTAAGCAAGAATACGAGATAAAGAATGATACATCTTGGCATCTTTTTTTCTTCGAATCTTCCATGATGTTATAAATGATGCAAACCATAATGCACTTAGCCACGAACGTTTTTGTTCAAAGGTCGTATATAAATAAGTGAGACTATCGAATTGGTATCACAGCAGACTTTACAGTTCACCACCGCTACCTTCTGACTGACTGCCATAAGCCCTACTACTTGTATACTATCTGCCATCACGCTACTGGCTCGGAAATCTCGTTTCATACTCAGCCTCCCCACTTCTACCCACTCGCCCTCTACTTCTGACCGCTTCTCTCAAATCACTAGCCATCTATTTCTGACAGCCTCTCTCAACTCTTCAGCTACTCTTCTGTATGAACTTCAGCATTTAACGCGCCGTGCTGTTTATTTGCCTTCTTGAAGTCTCCAGTTCATATTCAAGGTATGCCGAGCCAACTTTTGCTTTCTTTGGAAATGCTTTTGGTGCAGAGGAACTGATTACTCGAATAGCTTGTACCGTTTAGAAGTTATGTCTCTTCGATCCGCATCGGAGGACACTGATGAGTCAGTTGACCAGTCCGCCATATCCCTTCTGCAAAGGTCTTCGGAAAATGGAGCACAATTTTTCCCAAAAAAACGTTCACACATAAGACGTGCCCTCGACACCGTTACCCTATCTTGTCTCTTTGCTATCTCAATTGTCGTTATCTACAGCTTATTCCAGTACCAGGATAAACAGCCAGTACTCAAGTCTCGAACATTCACCTGCGGCAATACAATAGCTGATGCACAGCAAAACAACTGTGTTTATGATCCTCTGGCTGTCAGTTGGGTCCCTCGGGAATGTCTTGACTCTACATCTCTTCAAGAGTATAACGACCACGGCCCATGGGAATATTTCCAGAACAAGAATAGGTCCGGTAAAATAGACCCATTAGACCTTGGCTTCGAAATGTATTATACAACTATTCGAGAGCACGTTGTACACTGTGCTATAGTCTGGCAACGTTTGCATAGGTCAGTCAAAGATGTTTCTCGCCTAATTTTATGAATCTAAGCATTTGATCAGGTTCACTACTGGTTCTCACGAAAATCTTGTGATTACATCCTCGCTAGACGAGTCAAAGTTGGAGCATACAGAACACTGCTCTCGTATGTTGATTAAATGGGTTGACAATTTTAACTCTACTAAGCTTCAAGAGCTAGAAACTCGAAATAACCCTGGCTTTCAAACATGTTCGATACAGGAGATTTGATCATCCAATGGTGATGTGAGTCTGGCTCTGTGATTGATTCAAAATACGACTACAATCTAATACTGTAACTAAAAATCTTAAAGTTGTCCTGTCACCTATCTAGATCATCAGCTCGTAATCTATATAGAGATTTTACCTCTTTTAAGAAAAATATTTTCCGGCGGAAAATGAGTATATAGTTGTTTTCACGATATTGAGAGACTAAATATAGACTTAAGACTCAATTTTTTTTTTGAAAAATTTATAATATATATATTAAATTTTTCTTTGAAATAATTCATTTTTAAAATCCCTAAGAAATATTTTTTATAAGGAATCTTTTTATAAAATATTTATTTTTTAAATTCTTTAGAAATAATTTATGTATACGAAAATCCTTTAGAAATTATTTAGTTTTTAAATTCTTTATAAATAATTTATTTTTTAAATTCTTTAAATAAGTTATTTTTCAAAGTTCTTATAAATAATTTAATTTTTCAAATTCTTTATAAATAATTTATTTTTCAAATCTTTATAAATACTTTTATTTTTCAATTCTTTATAAATAATTTATTTACAAAGAAAATCGTATACAAAATTTATTTTTTGAAATCCTTCAGAAATATTTTATTTCTGAGAAATCTCTTATAAATAATTTATTCTAAAATTGTTAGAAAACTATTTCTTTTTAGAAGATATTCTAAATAATTTAGTTCTAATTGTTTTTAGATATAAATTCTTTATAAAGATTCTTTAATAAATAAGTTTCTTTTAATAAAGATATTATAAACTATTTATTTTTAAATTTTTTTTAGAAAAGATTTATTCTTAAGAAATCTTATAATTTTCTTTTAAATTCCTTTAGAAATAACTTTTAAAAAGAATATCTTATAACGTAACGTATAGGGAACTCGGATATATGGGGAACTCAGACACTTTTAACCTATCATTAACTTGAAATCGCAATAACTTTTATTGTGTATACTCAATCACCTTCTATATTGTTCAAATTGAAGAGAAGCTTCAAAAGGCTATAATTTCATTTCAATTGAAAGAATTTAAATTAATTAGAAAGGCTGCAGAGCATTTTGAAATCCCTAAATCTACCCTAGCTGATAGGCTGGCTGGAAAGAAAACACGTTCCCAAATCTACGAAATGGCTTAAATTCTTTCAAACGCAGAAGAAAATACTCTTGTACAATGGATTTCACGATTTACCATTATTGGATTCCCTGTTATACCTATATTGGTAAAGGAAATGGCTAACGAAATTTGTCTTTGACATATTCGGGTCGTATCATCTCGAATCCTACCTCGATAGAAATCCTATTTATAAGTTATGAATGGATTTATAGATTCCAAAAACGATATCCAGAATTTAAAATATACTATTTATATCAATTAGAATCTAATTAAACTAAAGAAGCAACTCCGGAGAATATTTAAACTTAATTTGATACATTTTACACACATCTCATTAAGTGAAAGTATGAATTAGATAATATATATAATATAGATAAAACCGGATTTAGAATTAGAAGTACTCAAAGTACTTATATAATAATTGATTCTATTCAGAAATCGAATTAAAAAATTACAGTTAACAAGTAAGAATGGATAACTATATTTGAATGTATCAATACAACTGGAAATACTCTATTACCTATAATTATTTTCAAAGCTTAGAATACGAATTCTATATGGATTTCAAAGGATATACTTCAAAGATAGTAGTTCTTTATTAATACAAATGAATGAACCTCAAATAGCTATAGATTAGAATAATTAAAAGAATTTTCGAATCAGAATCCAAGAAAGTATTAGATGACCGACCTCGACTTTTGATTACAAATGGTTATTTAAGTTATATTACAGGTAGCTTTATTACTTTCTGTATAAATAATAATATTGATTTATTTATATTATCTCCTTATTGCTTTCACTTATTTCAATCACTTGATATTACAATGTATAAGCCAATGAAACAATATTATACTTTAGAGGTTAATCGATATTCTCGAACTAATATAAAATAAATCCAAAGAGTTAAATGGATAGAACTCTTTCAAAATATTAGAAAAAAAGCATTGAATTCTTCTAATATTAAAGCTAACTAGAGAAAAACTAGTTTAATACCTTTTGCTTCACAAAAAGTACTCGATTCATTATTATTTAACTTCTCCCAACAATCTTTTACTTTACAAATAAGAACCTTCAATCAAGATTTAGACTTATCTATACTCAGGAGTTCTTCTCCAAATAAAACAAAACTAAAGCAAGCAAATCAGATCTTTAATATAACTCTAATAAGTAGTAATTCTCCTGTATTGCTAATTCGTCGATATACCAAAAAAATAACTAAACTTGTAGAATCTCAAAATACTGAGATAGCTTTATTTCGGAAATAGCTTTTTAATGTTTAAAAGGTAATTAAAACTCGAAAGAAAAGAACTAAAAGCAAAAGAATCAAATTACAAGATCAATTTATCTTTAGTATTAAGGAAGTATTGAAAATGGTATGTAAGACAAAGGAAAAACCGAAGAAGAAAAAGCTATAAGGACAGCTACGCAAATACTCAATTGAAAAATCAGAAAAAGAAATTGAAGAAGAAGAGCTAGAGAATAGTTCAAGTGATTCGGAATTGGAATTGGAGGATTGTGTGGCTCATAGAACAAGATCGCGTATAGAATAATTGAAAAAGTATCCGAGTTCCCCATATGTCCGAGTTCCCCATACGTTACGTTAAATAACTTTTTTTTTCAAAATCCTTTAGAAATAATATATTTTTAAAATCTTTAAGAAATAATTTTTGTATAAAAATCTTTTCATAAAAATTTATTTCAAAAGGAAATCTCATAAATAATTTATTTATAAAGAATTGTCACGAGGTGATACTAGCCCTTCCTGTTCTATCCTGTCCTGCTATATATATAAGAGTAAGGTAGAACTTTCGATTCTACCTCCTAGTCTTTTGGACTGTTTAGCTCAGCGGTAAAGTTTCTGAATACTCCCAGAAGGGGTCCCGTGACAAGAATCTCTTAGAAAATATTTTCTTTTTGAAATCCTTTAAAAATAATTTATTTATAAAGAATCTTTTCTAAATAATTTAATTATAAAGAGTTTTTTTAAAAATAATTTATTTATAAAATATTTTTTATTAATAATTTATTTTTAAAATTTATTAGAAAAAATGAATTTATAAAGAATCTTTAAAAAAAGAATTATTTTTAAAATTCTTGAAAAGAAATTTCTTTATCAAGAAAATCTTATTAAAGGTTTGTAAGCCTCAAAATCCCTTGTATTTTAGAAAGTATTATATAATTATATTTATAATCATAAAATCTAGAAAAGAAATTTTATTAAAAAACTTACTAATAAAATAGATTTATTTTATTATATTACTTTTTTTTATGAATTTATTTAGATTTTAATTTTATTTAGATTTCAATTTTTTTATTAAATTTAAATAGATTAATTTTATATTAGATTATTAATATATTTTTGGATTACGAAAATTATAATATTAAAATAATTTTTATTAATATTGAATTCATTATATTTAATATAATTCTTTTTTGATTGATTATATAAGTTCTAGGTTATCACGGGCAGGCAGGCAATAATAGGGTTCCAATAACTTTGCTCTAATTTGATAATGTTGGTATCACCATGGGGATGGTGAAGTCAATATAGTACTAATGATTCACACTGTTGTAATATTACTTGAGGTTCTAAAAGCTAAGGGCTACGAACGAACATGCTGTAGTGCCGGGGCGCTAGCGCGGTCACATGATCCCTGTCCCAACAGATAAAGTTATATTGATTTGGATAATAGGTTCAGATTGAGGATTAAGATATAGCTTGAAAAATTACAATACAGAATCTTCCAAATTGAAGATATATAGAGTTTTTCTAGTAAGCTAGTCTAATTAGATCCTAACTTATATATGCTCTGATGCAAATACTCAATTCGGTCTCTTCTAAGGAGATCAATATATTATATGATTTTATATTATAATATTATCCTTTTCCTAAGAGTTGAATTCTATTGAGGCAAAAATATTATGATTTGATTATCTATAGGTGGATAGTATTTGATTAAGCGGATCTGTCACGGGATCACCTCTGGGAGTATTCAGAAGCTTTACCGCTGAGCTAAACGCCCAAAAGACTAGGAGGTAGAACTGGAAGTTCTACCTTACTCTCACATATATAGCAGGACAGGACAGGACAGAAAGGGCTTAGTGTCACCCCGTGACAGGATCCTGGTTTATTAAAATATTTTTGATAAAAATTGTAAATTAGTTTTTATATGTTTTTCAGGTAGTTTATAGATTCTTTAATCAATATTTTATAGCTAATTTAGTAAATTATATATTTCAGATGAGATTCTTTACAATCTCTTTTCTTTCAATAAAAGTTCAGGATTTTGATAGCTTTGAATTACTTTAAATTATCAATTTCAATAAATAATAATAATAGGTAACATTACTCAAAAACAGAATTATTATATATAGAATATAACAGATTGATATGAAAAATAGGATAAATCTTTATTAAAATAAAAAGTTCTAATTTATAGATATAAAGATCTATTAGATTTAAGATTCTAAAGAATTTGAGATTTTTTCAATCGAATTTCTTTTATAAATATATTTATTTATTTATTTATAGTGATTAACGTCTAATATCTAACCTCCCAAGAGATATTCTAGATGTACTAAAAGCGGGCTTATGGGCTATTAGCATTCTAGTCGCTTATAGTAGTGTAATGTTAACTAATCAGAAACTTATTGTCTCTAATATTCCCTTACTTAATATTACTTATAACAATCCTATAACTATTTTGTTTAAAGATTTGTAGTTCTATTTTAGAAAGCCTTATTTTGTATATCATCCAAGTATCAATGAATAATCAAATCGATTGTTATCAATCAAAAAAATGCTCGAAGTGCTTATGGCTGATTAGTGCGGGTCTTAGATTGATTGGGGTGGAGAGCTTGTTCTCGGGATATTGGAGTAGATTGGTATCTGTGTAATTACATGTAGTTTGGATATATCCTAGTATAAAATTTAGATTTAATAAAAAGATTAGTAAAGCTATATTGTAATTACAGAATATAGTTGATATATACTATTACATCCCATTTAGATTGTAATCAGTTTGATATAAGTAGTTAGTTATTATGTGTTTGATTATTGATTGAATATCG